TGTAACCAGATGAGAGAACTTGAGTCAGCTGAGCCACCCCAGGTCACTGGCCCACAGGAAGTGCTGGCTGTCTTCGGAGCTAATAATTCGGGTATTCGTTACAGAGCAGCAGTGGGCAACTATTACGTCACTGGAAAAGTCATGACGGGTTTTTCTATGCAAAAAAGTGTCATGACTTTCCCGATGACCCAATAATTCATGCAAAATCCATGGATTATTTTTAAGATGTGGAATCTGACCATGATCATTAAGCTTCATTTTCTTAAATTTTTTTAAGAATTATTTACTTAATTTTTATTTATTCATTTATTTTTAATTTGACCAGAGACACAGAGAGAGAGAGAGAAAGTAAGTGAGAAAGCAAGCCACCAGGTCCAGAACTTGTACCATGGTCGGCCATATGGGAGTGTCCAGTGCCCTAACCACCACGCCACCTGCTGGTCATCATTGAGCTTCATTTTTATGTTAGTCTTTTACTAGAAAAGGAAGTAAGGACTTCATATGTTTGACTCCTTTATTTTACTTCATCTTCCTGGGCTTCTGTTTTTCCCTGGCTTCTCATCTCTCTCCCTAGCTGTTCAGTTTCTGCGGGTCTGTCCCTATCCCTGGCTTGGAGAATTGTCCAGATGTAGTCTGAGTTGTCCATACACCCTACCACAGTTTGTGGCCATGAGTGGGTACACCACCCAGGAGCCAATCCCTACATGGTGTTCTCTTGGCTCCCATGTCCACTGGGAGTGGACGCATGATCTAAGACCATTATTACTAATGTGAACCTGAGCTGGGTTTTCCAGGCTAGCAACATGTGGCCCTGTCTACTACAAATGCCATCCTGCATCAGTTCTGCTCAACCCACTGCCAGGGGGAGAAGATAGCTTGGACAAGATCAGACAGAGAAACCTCAAGCAGGATTATTTCATGGTGTTAAGAAGGAAGGCTTTTAGCTGGAATCAAACAGGTAAGACTGAGTTTAAAATTCATTTCCCCCGATTGTAACCTTGACAAATTAGTGTCTTTGTCTGTCTCTGGGCCTCAACTTGCCATCTGTAGCATGAAGATGATGACAATAGTACATACGTTATATGACTGTCACAAGGGCTCAGTGAAACACCCCTTGTAACAATGCATCACGTGACAGTACGTATTCAGTAAGTGACCCCTGGAGGAAAGCTGATAGCGAGCGATTGCCCCTCAAAATAGTTCATGTCTATCTGCATTATAGCATTTCACCTCGCGTGCAGAAGATGATTGTACCTGATGCACTCGAGTACTGAAGAGAAAAGAAACCCAACTGAAGCGCACTCATCCTGGTATCTTAAAAACGAGTGCCTGTAACAGTCTTAAAGAACTTTAGAATTTTGTTTGTCTTGACTGGCTTACATGGTAATTGTGCTAGGAAAAGAAATGTAATACATTGTAAAGATATATGTGATGCAATGTATTATGAAAAAAATTATGATAATAAATAAAATTAAATTTTAAAAAAGAAATTTTGTTTTGCATTAAAAAAAGATACCCTAAGAGAGCTCATTCATTTATCCCTCAGAATTTTCTTCTGCTGGGATCAGCAGTTAGCGTAATGGCTATGTCACTGGACTCCCATGGAGTCTACCACAGTTCGAGTCCCGGACCTGGTGGCTTAAAACTCACACTGGGCGCATGTGCGTGCGTGCCCAAGATCCCAAGAGGAGAATGGAGAAGGGATTGCGGCGCGGCCACCCCCCAGGGGCATGATTTTTCACTTTCTGTCTCTCTGTCTCTCTCTGTCTTTCTGGTGAGCACACGCGCCCTATAGCAAAAACTTCTCAAAAAAAAAAAAGAATTTTCTGCTGCTGTAGGAAAAACTAAATAGAAGAAAACAAAACCGTAAGGGGTTCTCTTTTATCACTTGTGTGAGTCCGTATATCTAACAGAAGCAGGCTCTTCACCCCACACCACACCTTAGTGGTATTTCGTGACCCCTGTATTCTGCAAAGGCCAAGGTGTCTGCTCCCTGGGGAGAGTCAGGAACTCATCGACTCCAGCCACCCGGTGCTGTGTTTCAGCAATCAGTACTGGCAAGCCTCTTTGTTTTCACAGAGCTAATGTTCTTCCACTGTAAAATGGACGTTAATTATTTATGTTTAGACAAGGGTTATTAAGTGTTCTAAGATCTCCATATTTCAGACCCATAATTCCTGAGTGGGGTGAAAGACTGATTGGTTTATACAAAATGCCTTTGTCAAATGTTGTTTATCTCTGGAAGGCACATCAGATTTTGTGACTATTTCTCAGACCGGTGAGGCCGGAGCCGGTTTCTGGCTCATTGCGTGTACTTGCGTGTCCCAGTCATTCTTCTCTCACAGCTGAAATGCTCTGTTTGCTTCTGTCTCACACCGTTCTTGGCCGTATTCACTCTGAGTGAAAGAGGTTATGATAGCGCTCTGGAGTCTACCACAGACGACTAATTTCCAGGCAGGAAAGGAACACAATGAAGACAGGAGAAAGAAATACGACTGTAGCAAGAGACGGTAGAAACTGGATTTATTGGTCGTAATTTGCCTCTCCCAGGGGTCCCCAGGGGCGGGGTGACTATGGTGAAAAGATAGATGATCATGGACTGAGACGCAGAAATAAGGAAGGTAAAGAAACAGAAAAGGCCACATAGAAAACGTTCTCATTCCCAGTAAGAGAAGCCAAACCCTGGGGGGAGTTCATGCAATATAAAAATATCGCCTTTAAAATCCTGCAATCCTTTAAACTTAGATTCAGCGGGGAGGCAGAAACAAAGATGTTATCAGGAAAAGAGAAAATTTGCTAGTCAGAGTTCAATGGAAAAAGGCTTTTAAAAAATCTACTTCGGGGAGAAGGAAATTAAGGCAGTGTGCTATTAGCTCAGGAACAGGTGAAAAGATAGTGAAAGACTGCAGGGCCCAGGTGAGTCTATTCATCGATGGTAACTTAGGACTAGACGAGATTGCATTATACTAAAGTTCTTTTCAGTAACAGTCCGGTGTTGGGGAGTGGATTTCTGTCTCACATCACACACACCTACTCCAGACAGATCGAAGACGTACATGTGAAAAACAAAATTCTAAAGTTCTTTCAGACTGTTACAGGCAATCATCTTTAAGATACCAGGATAAAGAAAGGCATCTTTTTAAAGATATGAAACACAAGAATTGGGCATTGTGGTCTATTCCTGTATTCCCAGCCGCTCACGAGGCTGAGGCAGGAGGATCATGAACTTGGGTAAGCCTGGGAATGAGGCCAGACTCTCCGTCTCTAAGGGAAAAAATACAAAGCACAAGACAAAACTGAAACGAAAGCTCTGGAGTAAAAGAAGAATTGATATTACTAACTAAAATAAGAATAATAAAATTTTGTTTATCAAAAAAAAAATACCTAAGGCCCTGGTGGCGTGGTGGCTGAGGTGACTGGGTCCCACACAGCTAACTTCATGGTTTGAGTCCTGGACTTGAAAATCATGCTGGGTGCATGTGCATGTGTGCCCAAAATCCTGAAAGGAGATTGAGGAAGAGACTGTAGCATGGCCTTTCCCCCGGGGAGGGGTTCTCACTCTCTCTTACTCTCTCTCTGGTGAGTACACATTCCTTGTAGAAGAAAGCTAAAATAAAAATAATAAAATTTTAAAAAGAAAGAAACCATAGAGTGGAAAATCAAGAAATGGATAAAAACTATTTATAGCATTCAAAATTAACCAAAAACTAGTGTGCCGAATATGTAAATTTTCCTACAAATAAATAAGAATAATACAACCCTACAGAAAGTGGAGAAAGGACACTAACAGACACTTTATAGGAAAGTAAATACAAATGCCAATGAAACATCTGA